AAGGTTCTCACCCAGGGCATAAACACGCCCCCAGTGCTGGTTCACAACCAGCTGGTCCTCACCCCAAGCATAGTCACCACTAATAAAAAGCTTGCTGACCCTGTCACCCTCAAAATAGAGACCAAGGTCCTCCAGCCGGCGAATCTGGGGTCCGCCCTCAATCCCCACCACCCTCCTGCTCTGCCCAGCAAACTGCCTGCAGAAGTGAACCACGTCGCCTCGGGGCCCAGTACCCCGACGGATCGAGCGGTCACCCACTTGGCAGCCACAAAGCCAGATGCGCACTCTCCTCGGCCCGGCGGGCCGGCGCCGGCCCCGTTCCCGAGAACGTGCCACCCCAGCAGCACCGCGTCTGCCGCGCTCTCCACGAACGCCACGGTCATGCTGGCTGCGGGCATTCCCGTGCCTCAGTTCATCTCCAGCATACACCCGGAGCAGTCTGTCATCATGCCGCCCCACAGCATCACCCAGACTGTGTCCCTGAGCCACCTGTCCCAGGGCGAGGTGAGAATGAACACTCCCGCGCTACCCAGCATCACGTACAGCATCCGGCCGGAGACCCTTCACTCTCCGCGGGCCCCTCTGCAGCCCCAGCAGATAGAGGTCAGGGCCCCGCAGCGCGCGGGCACACCCCAGCCGGCCGCAGCCGGCGTGCCAGCCCTGGCCCCCCAGCACCCTCCCGAGGAGGAAGTGCATTACCACCTTCCTGTTGCTCGAGCTGCGGCCCCCGTGCAGTCCGAGGTGCTGGTCATGCAGTCCGAGTACCGCCTGCACCCCTACACCGTGCCCCGGGACGTGAGGATCATGGTGCATCCACACGTGACGGCAGTCAGCGAGCAGCCTCGGGCGGCCGACGGGGTGGTGAAGGTGCCACCGGCCAGCAAGGTCCCACAGCAGCCCGGGAAGGATGCCGCCAAGACGGCGGAAGCCAAGGCGGCCCCGGCCCCGGCCCCCGCCCCCCACGGGGAGGCCCGCATCCTCACGGTCACCCCCAGCAACCAGCTGCAGGGGCTGCCTCTGACCCCGCCTGTGGTGGTGACCCACGGCGTGCAGATCGTGCACTCCAGTGGGGAGCTGTTCCAGGAGTACAGATACGGAGACATCCGCACCTACCACGGCCCTGCTCAGCTCACGCACACTCAGTTTCCTGCCGCCGCCTCCATCGGTCTACCTCCTCGGACCAAGGCTCCCGCTCAGGTAAGTGCCACACAGCAGCCGTCCTCCCTGTGGTGGTTGAGTTGCCGGCACCATCCCAGACACGTGTTGCCCTTTCTGTGAGTTTAAAGAGGCGCTTCTGAAACTGCAGGGTTCGGGAATCCGATCACCATGCAGAGGACGGAGGCCCGGGAAGGCGCTCTCTGAGGGATCTCGTGGTGCTCGTGGAGGGGGGGTGCCTCTTGTGTGCAGGGATGTGGGGGAGAGTGGGTGGGAGACTTCTTCCTGGAACCCTCAATCCTGAGTGCCCAAGAGGATCACTGCGTGGGCCTGACTTCGGAGGATGCCTGCAGCTGACCCTGCCCAAGAGCCCACAGCTGGGGGCCAGGGGGCAGGGTGCTGTGTGTAACACGCTCTCCACTCCGTTCCCTTCTCCCCTGCTGAACTCCAGGGCCCAGCTCCTGAAGGTGAGCCCTTGCAGCCCACTCAGCCTGCACAGTCTACACAGCCTGCCCAACCCGTGCAGTCCACGCAGCCTGCCCAGCCCACGCAGCCTTGCCAGCCCACCCAGCTCAGCCAGCCGGGCCAGCCACCAAGCGGCAAGATGCCTCAGGTCTCCCAGGAGGCGAAGGGGACCCAGACAGGAGTAGACCAGCCTCGCCTCCCAACCGTACCTGCGAGCAGGCCAGCCGAGCCGCACGTGCAGGTTCAGAGGGCACAGGCAGAAACGAGCCAGACCTCCTACCCCTCCCCCGTGTCCGTCTCCATGAAGCCTGACCTCCCGGCCCCTCTCCCTGCTCAGGCTGCCCCAAAGCAGCCGTTGTTTGTCCCCACAACCTCAAGCCCCAGCACCCCTCCAGGACTGGCTCTGACACACACCGAAGCCCAGCCCGCTCCCAAACCGGATTCTGCTCCACACCTGACTTCCCAGAGGCCTGTGGATATGGTCCAGCTTCTGAAGGTAAGTCCGGGCAGGGGGCCTCCCGCTCCCCTCCCAGCTTTGTGCCGTGTTGAGTGTTGTCCTAAGGTCCCCACTTAGACTAGTCGGCTGTCGCCTGGGGCCATGTCCAGCATGGCTCTGCTCTGTAGCCGTGAGCTTACTTCTGCGTGTCTCCCCGAGAGCAGAAGTACCCCATCGTGTGGCAGGGCCTCCTGGCCCTCAAGAACGACACGGCTGCCGTGCAGCTGCACTTCGTCTCTGGCAACAACGTGCTGGCCCATCGGTCTCTGCCCCTCTCTGAAGGCGGCCCCCCGCTGAGGATCGCCCAGAGGATGCGGCTGGAGGCCTCGCAGCTGGAAGGGGTTGCCCGAAGGATGACGGTGAGCTTCGGGGCCCAGGCGAGCACCGGCCGTGCCCTTGAGGGAGGATGTGGCTCGCCCCCACCTGCCCGTCTCCCTGGCTTGCCCACCCAGCATGTTCTGTCTCCCGCCGGCATGTCAAATGCCTCTAGGCTCGGAAACTTCTCTCAGGCAACAAATAGGGAGGACTTTAAGGTCACCCCAGTGGGGTGGGGGCTTTTGTGGACTCCGCAGCTGAACCCCGAGGTTGGACAGGCCTTTGCATGGGGCTGCTGTCTTGAGGGGAGGCCGCGGACGACTGACGACTGCTGATGCCACAGGTGGAGACGGATTACTGTCTGCTGCTGGCTCTGCCCTGTGGCCGTGACCAAGAGGATGTCGTGAGCCAGACCGAGTCCCTCAAGGCGGCCTTCATCACCTATCTGCAGGCCAAGCAGGCGGCGGGGATCATCAACGTCCCCAACCCTGGCTCCAACCAGGTCAGCCGAGTGTCCTCCCCTGTGGCGCACACGTGGGGGCCGGTCTCGGCTGGTCAGGCCGTCTGATCGGGTGGGCTGGGCTGCTGGTGCCAACTCAGAGGCCGCCAGAGGTTTCTTAGAGGAGGGCAGGAGGGCATTTTGGAGAGAGAACTCGAGTGTAGAGGTGGGGCCTCTGTGGCCCATCCCGGATCTAACCCCAGGACAGCGGAGACACAGCTGAGACCGCAGCGGTGTTTAGCTCTATACTGAGGAGCAGGTTCCCAGGAGAGCTGGGGGGACAGTAGTTTGCGGACAGCTGGGCTCCTCTGGGTGGACAGAGTCCTGGGGGCACGAGCTGATAGGGAAGCCGACTCACCCAGGCTCTGTGTGTTGCGCCCCTTCAGGGCCCCCGGTTGGAAGTGCTGAAGAATGGTAACGGGGTGGCGGAGGTGGAGACAGGGGATCCCACTCTTCTCTCTCGTCCCCCTCTCCAGCCTGCCTACGTGCTGCAGATCTTCCCACCCTGCGAGTTCTCGGAGAGCCACCTGTCCCGTCTGGCCCCCGACCTCCTTGCCAGCATCTCCAACATTTCTCCCCATCTTATGATTGTCATCGCCTCCGTGTGAGCCACTGAATGGCCGCCACTCGGTGTATTTCCCTGAGGCTCTGCAGCAAAAAGTAAACCCAGGACCCCCCAGTCGCGTGGAGGAAGCAGCTGCTGAAGGGGACACCCTCCACTGCCAGCCGCCAGCCTCGCCCTCGAGCCCGCTCCCCGCCAGGCTCCGGGGGACAAACCCCTCTGGGCAGTGGTGCTGCTATCTGAGTGTTTACATGACATTAGCCCGAGGACAGACCACCAACCGATGGACTCTGCAGACACCTTGGGGCTGGGTTTCTCTCTCCTCTTTTGGGAGAAAAGGAACTGGGCAGTGGAATTAATTTTTTGTTGTTTTTGTTTTTAAGAAACAAAACAGAACTGCCTTTGCACTAAATTAGTGACTTGGACTTTTGCACAGTGAAGACAGGCTGTGACACTCTGGATGTCTTGGTGTACCTGAAAACACACATCGAGGACTCGAGCGCAGGACGTCAGGCTTCTGCTGAAACCCTGGGGTCAAGGAACATTTCATTGGGTTGTTTTGTCCCCACCCTGCCCTTCCCCGTGCTCATTTGGATGTGTCACCTTTCTTAATTCTCCTGCCACCATCTTTGATTCACCCGGATGTACAGTTTACAATCGCAAAAGAGCAAACAGAAGGATTTTCTTTCCTGGTGGGATATGCAGAACTTGGGATGTGTGTATATATAAATATATAATATATATAAATATATATAATACTGACTTAAAAAATCAAATTCCCCTGACATACATTTTTTTTAATCTGTGCCAAAAATGTGTTTTCAGAGAAAAATCTTATTTTCATACTCAGACTTTGTATTGTCACTCATTTGTATAAGTGCGCTTCGTTACAGCACGGGCCCTGCCCCCGCGATTTGGAAGTGTCACACACACACAAAAGACTGTACAAAAAAGACTGGCTTCCCCTCTTCCTGTTACCTTGACCTCTTCTCCCCCCCCCCAACTTCCTAACACTTATTAATTTATGAAACTGGTTTTCTCAGCGCAGTTTTGTTTTGTGTGTCCATTGGATTACAAACTTTATTAAAAAATACAAAACACGTCGTGTGGATGTGATTGTCACTTGACTGGGACGACCAAGGGTCCTTTGCTTACGGGAACAGCTGGCCCTCATCCCACTTCTCTTTCCCTCCCCAAGTCTGTCCATGGGACCTGCTCCCTTCCTGCCACTTAATCCTGCCCAAGCGTCGTGTTCTCTCGTACAAGAGGTTTCTGCCACAGACTGAACTTATTTATTCTCGGGTAACGCGGAAGGCACTTCAGAGTTGGGGTGGGGGAGGAACCACCTGCCAAGCAGACTCAGAAACCTCATAGGCAAACTTTGGTGTCTTGCCTCTTTGCCCCTTCCTCGTGTGGGTCTGGAGCGGCCTGGCCTGGGCAGCAGCAGAGGCACAGCTAGGCCCAGTGCCGGGGGGCGGGGGGCGCGGGGGGGGGGGCAGGGACCACAGAGTTGATGGTCTCACTTGAGATAATCACGGGGCTCTCTGAGGGATTATAGCTGCTCAGAGCAAACCGGAGGGGCAGAGATGGCATCCGCTCTCCCTGCCGAGAGGGTTAAGGATGAGCTGTTCCACGGCCCCTGCTGGCTGTCCCCCACCTCCCCCATCAAAGCTCCTAGCCATGCGTTTCTGACCCTCAGCCTGGTCGTAGACTCCCGCTGATTCAGGGCAAATCAATGTTCCCAGGAGAGTGGGGCACGGGCTTGGCCTTGATCCTGTGAAGTGAGTGTGAAGCCCTTCTGCTTCCCCAAGCCCGACAGATCTGGGCCCGTGGCCTGGCGGGCCTGGCTCTCTGCCTACCTTGCTCTGGCTGAATGGGCTTCTGAGCTGGGCTCTCTGGGGTGCCTGGATCCTGGTAAGCCAACCCCACTGGGTCACAGCAGGGTCACAGCTGTGCTCCGTGGCAGAGAGGGGAGCTCAGGTCCTGAAGCTGAACAGGTGAGAAGCCCAAGGAGGAGACCGGATGAGGGGACGGGCTGCGTGGAGCCACAGTCTCTCCGGCCCCAAGCGTGCTGCCCAGACCCTGACTCAGGACAAGGAAGCCAGTTCTTTTTCCAGACGGGTCCAGAGTCACCAGTCCCATTCTGCGGGAGGGACAGCCTGGCTTGGCCGGGAAACAGGTCGGTGCTGGCCGGTCCCTGGGTGGAGCAGCCCTTCCGTGGCATTGGCCACAGCTCTGCCAGCTCCCCCCACACCCCCACAGGGAGCTCTAGGCGGCATTAGAAAATAATCAAATTTATTCTCTCTAGGGAATGGGGCCACCCCTCTCAGATCCAGGGTGCCATCCATCCTTAAATAAACAGTCACAAGGAGGGATGCCTGCTCACTCAGCAGGCGGCGGACATTCAGGGGCTGTGGGGGGCGTCTCTGCCAGAGCGGGCTGGCCATCGGCCCCATCCCGAGGGCGGAAGACCAGCTCCCCAGCCTGCAGCACCTGCCCAGCCGGCCACGCGCTGCCCGGCCCGTACTGCTGGTAGAAGTCCGCGTCCGTCTGGAACATGACCAGTGCCTGGGCCGTGTGGATCCGCACGTGCTGGGCCAGGCTGTTTGCATCCAGGAACTTGTCCCCACAGGAGTCGCAGGCATAGAGGATGTGGGTGTTGGGGTCTGTGGAAGGTAAAGGCCATGATCAGACTGGGGAGAGCCCTCGGGGTGGTGGTGGGGGGGCACCAGTTTTCAGGCCCCAGGCGGCCCCTCTCACCTTCCTCCTGTACTTGCTTCACAGCTTTGCTAATCTCGGCCTTAAGGACTTCCGTCTCATCGGCGGTCACCGCGGCCCCCACTGGTACCACTGCGGGCAAAGTCCATGGGGCCTCAGGCACCTGCCCCATCATGGGAGGCACGCTGCCCGGGACCACCCCCCAGCGGCCCGCAGCCCGCACCTGTGAGCTGAGTGACGGCCGTTGCCGCCAGTGCCTCGGTGGCCAGCGTGACCATGTCATCCACGGTGACCACACTGACCTCACCCCCCTCCTCGGGCTCCAGGATTTTGATGCCCGCCTTGCCCTGGTGCACGGTCTTCACGTGGGAACGCAGGTTGTCCACTCGGTTGAAGCCACGCCCGCACTTGTCACACAGGTAAGGCTTCTCTCCTGGGGGGGAAGGCAAGGTTCTCGCCTGCCGTTGGGGGGGGGGGGAGGACCTCAGTGGCCTCCAGCTCCCTCAGAGCCCTGTCTCTTCCAGCAGCAAGTGCTCTGGGGCGGCCACCGGAGCTGCCCAGGAGCCACCAGCGGCCACCGCGCCCTCTGGAAACCAGGAAAATGGGGTCCTCATTGAAACTGAACCTCCCAGGCCCCCTGCAGCAAGGACTGGCACCCAAGGCTGGGCCCTGGAGGGACCTCCCTTCCCCCCAGCCCGCCCCCAAGAACAAAGGCCAGGTAAGGCGGGCGGCGGCGAGCTCACCGGTGTGGATGATGATGTGCTTGGACAGGTCCCCCACGTTCACGAAGGCCTTGCTGCACACGCTGCACTTGTGAGGGCGAATGTTGTCGTGGTGGCGAATGTGATTGGCCAACTGGCTGGACTGGACAAATCTGCGGGGCGGCAGAGGGAGGGGCTGGCACCAAACTGCCCGAGTCTGGCAGAGAGGGTTGGGGCTGGGGGCTGGGGGCCGGGGAGCTGGGCTGGGGCCTCCCGCCTCCTCTTCTAGATCGGGGCGGACCCAGGGAGCTAGGCCTGGGCCGGGGCAGCACTTGGCCCCCGGTCCCATCCAAGCTCTTCGGGGGGAACCCGGCGGGGCCCGGGGCGGGGCAGGACAGGACCTCTTGCCGCAGCGCTCGCAGACGTAGGGCTTCTCCCCCGTGTGCTGGCGCACGTGCGCGATCAGGGAGCTGGCCTGGGTGAAGGCCTTGCCGCACATCACGCACTGGCACGGCTTCTCGCCTGGGGACGGGCGGCAGGAGAGGCCGTCGGCACCCACGCCTCCCCGCGTGCCCTGCCCCCGCCCCGGGGCCGCTCACCCACCCGTGTGGATGCGGACGTGCCGCTGCAGGGCGCCGGGGTCGGCGAACTGCCTCTGGCAGTGGACGCACACGTACGGCTTCTCCCCGCTGTGGATCCGCAGGTGCCGCTTCAGGTTCCCTGTGGGAGACGCGGGGAGGGCCCGCCTGAGGCACTGCGGGGGGCGGGGGGAGCGGTGTGCCGGAGGGGCGGGGCGCGGGGGGCCAGCCCTACCTGAGGTGGTGAACTGCTTCCCACACTCCCGGCACTTGAGCGGCCCGTCGGCGATGTGGATCTTCAGGTGAGCCTTCAGATTCCCCACCTGCGCCCAGGCGGGGGTCAGAGGGGCCGCCCCGCGGCGTGGAGCGTGGAGCCCTCCATCGCCCCCCACCCCACGCCAGCAGCGAAGCGGCGAGACCCGCCCATACTCCAGGGCCCTCGCCCTGCCTCCACCCGGGCGTCCCTGGCATTGCAGCCCTGGGACTCTACCCCCGCCTCCCCCTCCATCCCCCCCCACTCCCCCTCCGCCCCCACCCCCACGTCTCCCCCACCGGCGCCGCCCCGTCCCCGAGGGCGCGCACACCTGATTGAACTTCTTGTCGCAGTGCGGGCACTTGTGCTCCTTGTCGGTGTCGTGCGTCTCCAGGTGGCGCATCTTGGACGTGGGGTCGGAGAAGGAGCGGCCGCAGTAGTCGCACTGGTAGGGCTTCTCGCCGCTGTGCACCAGCTGGTGGCGCTTCAGGTTGCCCGACGTGGTGAAGAGCTTGCCGCAGTCCTCGCAGCGGTAGCGCGCCTCGCCCGAGTGCCGCTTCTTGTGCAGGTTCAGCAGGCTGATGAGCCGGTAGCTCTTGCCGCACTCCTCGCAGCCGTACGGCTTCAGCGGGCTGCGGGGCACAGGGCCGCAGGGAGGGGAGCGTCGCGGGGCTGGGGGGGCCGGGGGGGGGGGGGGGGGGCTGGGGGGGGGGGGGCGCGGCGCACCTGTGGGTCTTCTCGTGGGCCTTGCAGGCGGCCGGATCCGAGAAGGCCTTGCTGCACTCCCGGCACGAGAAGGGCTTCTCGCCCGTGTGGATGCGGATGTGCCGCTTGAAGTTGCCGGTGTGTGTGAACTCCTTCCCGCAGTCCTGCGGGGGCGGGAGCGTCAGGGACCCGCAGTGGGCGGCGGAGGAGGGGGGCCCGCAGGCGCAGGGAGGGTCGCACCTCACACTTGTGGATGACCGAGCCGTAGGCCTTGGACTCCGTGCGGTCGCCGTAGGTGCCGGAGCGCAGGCCCCGGGCCTCGGGGCCCAGCTCGTGGCCCGAGTCCGTGCTGGCCGACTCCTCGCTCTCCTCGGGGGCCTCCCCCTTCTCCAGCGGCGGCCCCTCTTCCTTGACCTCGGCCGCACCCTCCTCCTCCCGCTCTTCTCCTTTCCTGGCCGGCTCCACCTCCATTTCTGCCTCGAGAAGGGCGGACACTGAGGCCTTGGGAGGGCGAGAACCGGCCTCCACAGGTGGTGCCCTCAGAGCCAGCCAGAGGCAGGGGTCTGGTGTCTGCAGCCCTCTGACGGTGGGTGCCCGCTGGGTCCCGTCCGCAGACAAGCCTGCTGGGCACTGGCCTGGGAGGGTGCTGTGGGCTGCTCAGAGGGGGCCTGTGTCCCCAGGGCTAGCAGAAGCACGACCGGGTACATCCCTGAGAACCAGAGGCCAGACTTGGGCCCAAAGCTAAAGCGGGACTCACCGTGGGATCCGCTAGAGGGGTCTGGGGGGGACCCAGGGGGACAGGTGAGTGCCAGCTACTGGGCTGGCTGGGGGCAGGGTACCTTGCTCCGAGCTCTCTGACAACACAGCCTCTGCCTCTGCGGCCGCCATGCTACTCGTCGGGTCCGGCTTGGGCTCTACGGGGGGCGGCTCCCGGGGGGCGTCAGCCTTCTCCGTCTGCTCGGCCCCTGGGTGTGGCGTGGGAACACCGGAGGCGGGATTAGGGCCCGCCATCCAGGGGCTGGAAGGCTGTCCTGGACCAGGTCCCCAGCAGTGGCTGAGGCCCGGGATGGGGGCCCAGCACACCCCAACTCGGTCTGCTTATGCCTCTGCTCTGGCTGGAGCAGGCACCCCGGTGCGAACAGGTCACTCTGGGTGATGAGAGCTCAAAGGGAACAGCGGTCAGTGCCACCTGCCTCCCGACCCCAGGAGCCCCCCGAGCAAGCCGCTCGCTGCACCAGGGCCCGGGCTGCAGGGAGGGGATGGGACGGATGGCCGGGCCCTCGGTGCCACAGCTCACCACTGGCCGTGGTCTCGGCCTGGCCACCGCGCTCCTCCTTGGGCTCCCTGCCCAGGCCCATCGGGGGACCGCTGCCGGCGGGCTCCAGCTCGCTCAGCATGGGGGCAGCTGCCTTCTCCTCTTTGGTTCTCTTGTCTCCTCCTGGAGATGGAACAGGACAGACCTGCCGTTTCCCATCACGTGCCCACCACCTGGAGGGGTGAGGTGGCCCCACACTTGCTCGCTCTTCCAGATCCTCCCTGGGGATGCTGCTATAGAGTGGTTTGCCCGTCTGTTCCCGGGGCACCTGCTCCACACACCAGGCTGCCGGCCAGGCCCAGGATCACCAGGCCTAGCTGCCACTCCCGTGGGGCTCCCACGCTGGTCGGGGGCGTACCTCACGCGCAAAACAATGCCACTCGTCAGAGCCAACGCTTAGGAGGGGAGCGGGGTCCTCTGCAAAGGGTGCCATGAGAATCTGGCCATACCCAGTGTCAGGAGGAAGGGCAGGAGAGGGGAGGGGCTGCCGGAGGGGCGACCCCCGTGTGCAGAGGCCTGGGCCAGGCACGCCCCCCAGCTCTGCGGGGCAGCAGAGCACAAAGCAAGCGGGTAAAAGGTGGGGAAGGGAGAGGCAGGCGGGGCCCCTTTGGCCTTCCCGAGACTCCTACTAGCAGCCCACAGGGCCAGCAAGGCCAGGTGAGGAAACAAGCCCAGAGCGAGGAAACAGAGAGTCAGAGGCAACAGCCTACCCAAAGCCGCCTGCTCAGGAACAGCCTGCCCATCCTCTTACCTTCCGTGGCCGAGGCCACCGCGCTCTCCCCGGGGCTGGCGTGTGGCTCCGCAAGGGACTTGAGGGCATGGCAGGCTGCGATGATGTCCTGCATCTGCAGGAAGCCGGCCACGGCCAGCACATCGTCCACGTTCTCAGCGCTCAGGCTCAGCTTGGCCGTGTACATGAACTCCAGCACCTGACCCAGGCCTGCCAAGGACACAGACGGCCACCACGGACCTGCCTCAAGACCCGGCACTGGCAGCCGGCCCAGCCACCCCACTCAGCAGCAGGACCGGGATCTGTGGAAAGCAGAGTGGCAGGCCAGCGGCGCCCCCTCCCCCGTACTGGAGCCCAGACCACAGCCTCTGAAGTACCCCCGCAGAGGGCAGAGGGGGTGACAGCCACCCCGCATGGAGGACAGCAGGTGTGAATGCTCACTTAACACAGAGGACGGGTATGAACGCCCACTCTCCACAGAGACAGTGTGAATGCCCGCCCCTGCACAGAGACAGTGTGAACGCCCGCTGTGCAGAGACAGTGTGAACGCCCGCTCTGCACAGAGACAGTGTGAACGCCCGCTGTGCACAGTGTGAACGCCCGCTCTGCACAGAGACAGTGTGAACGCCCGCTCTGCACAGAGACAGTGTGAACGCCCGCTGTGCAGAGACAGTGTGAACGCCCGCTCTGCACAGAGACAGTGTGAACACCCGCTCTGCACAGAAGGTGTGAACAGAGGACTGAGAGTGTAAACACCCTCCCCGCACAGAGGACAGTGGTGTGAATGCATCCCCCCCTCCCCGAGGATACTCTCTACCGCTCAGCCACCACACCCCCCACCACTGGAGGACACTCCAACAAGAGGGTGTCAGCACTGGCTCTCACGAGGGCTCTGTCACAATTATCTGACCTCCAAGCTAGTCACTGACCCCTCTGGGTCTCAGTTTCCATATCTGTAAACTGGGGGAACACCACCTCGCCCTAACCTTCTCATGGCAGGTCCTGCCATGCTGGGTTAGGAGCCAAATCCAAGACCAGTTCTCCCTCTCAATCCCCAGGTCCTCCTGACACCCCTCTGAGCTACAGCCATGGCCATCCCCATCATGGTCAGCACAGGGGTAGGGGTGCAGGACGGACTCGACCATGGGAAGGGGCCAGGGGCTGGGAAGAGTGCACCTGTTCTCTGTCCCTCCTGATGAGCCTATCCTGGGTACACTCCAGCCCAGAGCTTACCGCGAGTCCTTCCTGTCAGTTCTCCTCTTACCACCCAGGTCTCCGTCAAAACAGGCCCCTCGAAGGTGGAAGGAACTCGGTGCCCACACTCTTACGTCCTGGGTCCCCTATGGGAGGTCTGGTGCAGCCCACAGCTCGAAGATACCCCCCACCAAGGAGGGCAGGGGCCACATCGGCAATGTCAGGAGGGCCGTGCATGGCACAGACCCGGCCACAGCCTCCGAGCCTACGCAAGCGTGGCCCTAGACCCCACGGGGTACCTGCCGCGTTACTGATGTCCAGGTGTACCACATCCTTCTGGTCCACGAAGAGCATCTTGAAGTACTCGCTGCAGGCCGCCAGAACTGCCTTATGGGCTTTGAAGTCAACACCGTCCACCACAAAAGTGCAGTCACACAACAGTCCCAGCTGCCGCTGCTGGTTCAACTGCTCCAAAACGTGCTGGCTGTGCTGGGGAAAATCCATGGCTGCGGAAAGCCGGAGGGCCTTCGTGTTAGCACAGAGAGAGGACGCCAGCCCGCCCGGTGGGCAACCCCCGAACTCCCGGGTGAGAAACGCAACGGAGAATGGGAGAAGGAAAACCATGGAAGGTTGATCACGCCGGATTCCCTCTGCAAGCCAAGGCTGATCAGCGGCTCCTAGATCCCTGGGTTTACTGGCCAGCAAAGTTCCAAAAACCAAAAGCACTGAGGGACCAACACAAAACAGCTGACTTTGTGTCTTGCCAGGTTAACAACATTAGAAAGCCGAAAAACACACACAAAACCCTGATGACGGCGAGTGTTAAAAAAGAAAAGACGAGGGGCACCTGGGTGGCTCAGTGGGTTAAAGCCTCTGCCTTCGGCTCAGGTCATGATCCCAGAGTCCTGGGATCGAGCCCCACATCAGGCTCTCTGCTTGGCAAGGAGTCTGCTTCCCCCTCTCTCTCTGCCTGCCTCTCTGCCTGCTTGTGATCTCTGTCTCACTTGTGATCTCTGTCTGTGGAATAAATAAATAAAATCTGTATTAAAAAAAAAAAAGAGGGGCGCCTGGGTGGCTCAGTGGGTTAAGCCGCTGCCTTCGGCTCGGGTCATGATCTCAGAGTCCTGGGATCGAGCCCCGCATCGGGCTCTCTGCTCAGCGCTGCACAGAGACAGTGTGAACGCCCGCTGTGCAGAGACAGTGTGAACGCCCGCTCTGCACAGAGACAGTGTGAACGCCCGCTGTGCACAGTGTGAACGCCCGCTCTGCACAGAGACAGTGTGAACGCCCGCTCTGCACAGAGACAGTGTGAACGCCCGCTGTGCAGAGACAGTGTGAACGCCCGCTCTGCACAGAGACAGTGTGAACACCCGCTCTGCACAGAAGGTGTGAACAGAGGACTGAGAGTGTAAACACCCTCCCCGCACAGAGGACAGTGGTGTGAATGCATCCCCCCCTCCCCGAGGATACTCTCTACCGCTCAGCCACCACACCCCCCACCACTGGAGGACACTCCAACAAGAGGGTGTCAGCACTGGCTCTCACGAGGGCTCTGTCACAATTATCTGACCTCCAAGCTAGTCACTGACCCCTCTGGGTCTCAGTTTCCATATCTGTAAACTGGGGGAACACCACCTCGCCCTAACCTTCTCATGGCAGGTCCTGCCATGCTGGGTTAGGAGCCAAATCCAAGACCAGTTCTCCCTCTCAATCCCCAGGTCCTCCTGACACCCCTCTGAGCTACAGCCATGGCCATCCCCATCATGGTCAGCACAGGGGTAGGGGTGCAGGACGGACTCGACCATGGGAAGGGGCCAGGGGCTGGGAAGAGTGCACCTGTTCTCTGTCCCTCCTGATGAGCCTATCCTGGGTACACTCCAGCCCAGAGCTTACCGCGAGTCCTTCCTGTCAGTTCTCCTCTTACCACCCAGGTCTCCGTCAAAACAGGCCCCTCGAAGGTGGAAGGAACTCGGTGCCCACACTCTTACGTCCTGGGTCCCCTATGGGAGGTCTGGTGCAGCCCACAGCTCGAAGATACCCCCCACCAAGGAGGGCAGGGGCCACATCGGCAATGTCAGGAGGGCCGTGCATGGCACAGACCCGGCCACAGCCTCCGAGCCTACGCAAGCGTGGCCCTAGACCCCACGGGGTACCTGCCGCGTTACTGATGTCCAGGTGTACCACATCCTTCTGGTCCACGAAGAGCATCTTGAAGTACTCGCTGCAGGCCGCCAGAACTGCCTTATGGGCTTTGAAGTCAACACCGTCCACCACAAAAGTGCAGTCACACAACAGTCCCAGCTGCCGCTGCTGGTTCAACTGCTCCAAAACGTGCTGGCTGTGCTGGGGAAAATCCATGGCTGCGGAAAGCCGGAGGGCCTTCGTGTTAGCACAGAGAGAGGACGCCAGCCCGCCCGGTGGGCAACCCCCGAACTCCCGGGTGAGAAACGCAACGGAGAATGGGAGAAGGAAAACCATGGAAGGTTGATCACGCCGGATTCCCTCTGCAAGCCAAGGCTGATCAGCGGCTCCTAGATCCCTGGGTTTACTGGCCAGCAAAGTTCCAAAAACCAAAAGCACTGAGGGACCAACACAAAACAGCTGACTTTGTGTCTTGCCAGGTTAACAACATTAGAAAGCCGAAAAACACACACAAAACCCTGATGACGGCGAGTGTTAAAAAAGAAAAGACGAGGGGCACCTGGGTGGCTCAGTGGGTTAAAGCCTCTGCCTTCGGCTCAGGTCATGATCCCAGAGTCCTGGGATCGAGCCCCACATCAGGCTCTCTGCTTGGCAAGGAGTCTGCTTCCCCCTCTCTCTCTGCCTGCCTCTCTGCCTGCTTGTGATCTCTGTCTCACTTGTGATCTCTGTCTGTGGAATAAATAAATAAAATCTGTATTAAAAAAAAAAAAGAGGGGCGCCTGGGTGGCTCAGTGGGTTAAGCCGCTGCCTTCGGCTCGGGTCATGATCTCAGAGTCCTGGGATCGAGCCCCGCATCGGGCTCTCTGCTCAGCGGGGAGCCTGCTTCCTCCTCTCTCTCTCCTGCCTCTCTGCCTGCTTGTGACCTCTCTGTCAAATAAATAAATAAAATCTTTAAAAAAAAAAAAAAGAAGAAAAGAAAAGAAAAGACGAGGGGCACCTGGGTGGCTCAGTGTGCTGGAGCCTCTGCCTTCGGCTCAGGTCATGATCCCAGCATCCTGGGATCGAGCCCTGCATGGGTCTCTCTGCTCAGTGGGAAGCCTGCTTCCCCCTCTCTCTCTGCCTGCCTCTCTGCCTACTTGTGATCTCTATCTGATGGATAAATAAAATCTTTAAAAAAAAAAAAGAAAAGACGTGGTCAGTTTAACATCGTTTACAAAAAGAATGCATGACATAATCTTAGGAGGACGGATCTTTCAACTTGATACGTTTGGCCTGATGTAAACCTTTCTATTTTGGTTTTTTCCTCATTCTGTCGAGCACAGGTGAGATGTGTGTCTGGGAAGACAGAGGTGCCCTCTCCCAGCGTTTCAGGAATTGGCCCTCTCCTGCGGCACCCACAGGGCTCTGGCTCCTGCCCTTGGGGGCAGAGATCTCTCTCTCTCTCTCTCTCTCTCTCTCATTCATAGGTTCAGGGAACTGCATGACGCTGGGGCGTCCTGTGCCTCCAGCAACCTCTCCGGGCTGTCCCGGGAGGAAGCGTGAACTCTGGCCCCTGACCCTGAGAGCCGCCAGGCTGGCCGGTCTCACTGCCAAAGGCCTCACGTAATGCCCGGAAATCCTACAACTGTCTCAGGTGAAAATGCACAGAAAAATTCCACGGCCCGGTGCCAAATAATCACGAACCACCACAAGCCATGACTAAATAAGTATCTAAAACATTTCTCTCCTCCCCAGCGCCACACCAGAGTATGGCTCGGACCAGCGTTTTACAGGGAAAACAGCAGGCCCTCGGTTCAAGAAAGACCCAGTTTCAAAGTAAAAGCCACCCCCCGCCTCCCGGGACGGCACTGCACAGACCCCCGCCCGGGGCTAGGAGGCCTGGGTCTGCTCAGAGCTGCCCCAGCTTCTGGGCAGGTGGGAATGACATTCTGGGGGTCCCGGTCCCCAGGCTTCTGCAGCCCCTCACGGGCTCCCGCTGTTCTGTGACATCAGCCTCCTTGCGGGAGCCGTGACCATGCGTGGGGGTCTGGCTGTGATGAGCAGCGAGGAAAGCCACGCCTGCCTCCCCTGCCAGGGGGGCTTAGGTGGCACCGATCGCCGCAAAGCCCATCCACCCCGTGGTGTCTGGAAACTTTTCAAGCAGGGCCAGGTATTTGCTGAGTCAGGGGAGGTCACCGGGCAGGCGGGCAGGCAAGGCTCTAGGCAGGGAGTGGGGCGTAGGGGTGACAACGGGCTGTGTGCCACATGCTGGAGACCCAGAAACGGCCGTTCCCTCCCTCCAGCAGCCCCACGCTCAGCCTTCAATCCCACCCTTCACACACAGGCTCCCTCGGCTTCTTGGTTCTCCGCTCCATCCCTGCTCCTCTGGGGGAGCTGAGAGGAGGAGCCGCAGGGACCAGACCCGGAGCAGCCAGTGTCTGCTGAGCTGCCCGCCCTGGAGTCAGGCCGGCCGGAGCCAAGGCCGCCACCGACACACGACCCCCCCGGAAGGCATCCTTCTGGGTCTTCAGTCCCTGGAACAAGCAAGTTCCTGTTGTGACCTGAAGGAACGAACGCGAGAATTCTGGCTGCTCTATGCCCGAGCCAGTAAAAACAAAAACAGATGTTTCTGGAGAACATGGAAAAGAACCAATGTCCAGTCCATGGGTTCAAACCCCCAGGCCGGGCCACTCAGGCCTGGGTTCCAAAGGCAGTACACACCAGGCAAGGGGTACACGGAATGACAGTGGGGGGCAAAGAGAGGCCGGGCCAGCTCACCCCCAGATCCGCCTTCTCACCAGGGCTGGGGGGGGAATGTGAGCGCGTGTACACCCGGGCAGCCCCCGAGTCCCTGTCACGGGTCACTCCTTATGTCCCCGGAAGCCCAGGTGCAGAAACCCCTTCCAAATGCAAGAAAGGGAGAACCACCAGCACCCGGAGGGCCAGATGCTCCCTCAGCTTCAGAACAAGCCCACTCGGCACTTGGCAGTGCCCCGGCTCCTTCATCTTCCCCGGCAGCCAGCCCGAAAAGAAGGGGGAGGAAATGTCTCCCGGGTGGAGAAACAACCAGGGAGCGTCCCCCCAACAACCGCACCCTCCCCCTCCAAGGTAAAGTTGGTCCAGGCCCTTGGGCGGAGCCGGTGGAAGACGGGGAAGGCAGAGCCCTCCAGCTGGAAGGCGATCTGACTTGCTGTGAAGGGAACCCCAAGACGAGACAAGACCCCAGAGTGGAAGGGGGCTG